GTTAGGCTCCGATCTGGAGGTCCCAAACCCTCATTTGGGACGACTGGGTTGGAGGAGACAGACCGGTAACCGGTTCAGTCTGCAGGGTGCGACGGGGTTCGTGACGGTGACGGCTCCGGGCGCGGGTCGGGCTGCAGGCGCGGGGCAGGGAGCGGGGTTTTCTTCAAACCCCTGGGGGAAACACTCGTCCTAGCGCAGCTCATGCTCAGTGCTGTCATATCTTCACCAAACCTCGTGGCTGAAAACACACGCTTTAAAAATTATACAAAAGAGTTAGTTTTATTAAATCGCCTAATTACAAAAATAAATGAAACAGAAACCCAAAAATTACACCAAAATTCACATGCTAAGGAACGAGACGTTACAGCAGAATGCTGGGGAAGCTCGGCTCAGCTGTTTGGAATGTACCCGTGGCTCTGTGGTACTGACACTGAGCTGCCATGTCTATTCCAGTTCAACTACACCCCCCTTCAGCGGCACGCTGCGAGCCGACGCAGAACAGCTGCAAAGGGAAAGGGCAGAAGACATGCTGAGCTGCTGAACAGCTGCAGACAAAGCACCAAAAGCATTTCTTTAGAGGGAAACCGCAAGACTAACCGAGTATCCCTTGCTGCTCCGTGCACCCCAGTCATCGCAAGATTTATTAGACAAAACTATTGGCCAACATAAATGCTGGCTTCACGTTAGCTCAGGCTCTGTTAACAGGTAAGTTTCTGTGTAAACACTGAAAAAGGAATCGGACTAACTAAAGCATGTGGCTGCTTCTATCTGCAGCCTGGAGCAAGTGGCATCATCAATACCTCAGTCCGATTCCTCGGTTTGCCCCTTCCTCTTCAAAAGGCAGAATACTGCTCTTCCGTAAGGGTCTCCTGGCAGCCCCTCCTGAAGGACTACGAGCAAGAAGTTCAAGTTTGTGAAGCACTATGACAGCAAAGACGTGTAGTAAAAAGTACTACATGATTCTTACTCTAGTTAGTAGAGTGGAGGTTGTCAGATGCCATCCTGAGATTGCTTTAAAGCAGGCAGAACGTCAGTAACCTTGGGAAGGAGGTAAACTCCCCCAAACACTCATTGCCCCCACATTTGGCTCAAGTTTATCCCAAAAAAAGTCAACTCCCAACACTCCAGCATGTACTTGGTGAGATTCACATGGGAACAGACTAGATTTCTAATAGACTCTACATGTAACTATCATGTAAAAGCAAACCTAACTCTAATTAGCTAGAACAATCAACTTTGTATTTACTTATCACTATCTCTTAAGGGAGAGAAACACTCATGGCAATGTCTCAGGGGTGGAGAAAGCACCGTGGCCACCCAGTGAGCAGAAACCTGCAAATACAGCTCCAGTGCCTTCTCCTGACAGTGGGAGACGCTTGTTCAGTACAGCAGGTGGAAGACTTCCAGCAGCACAGTGCCACCAGGAGGAACATGTTCGGCAGCAGAGGATCCTCTTCAGGAGTGCTCCGTGGGGCCTGCCCCGTGCCCGTTCACATGAGGGTGCGATGGGGTTGAGCTCTGCGAGGTAGCAATGCTCTGCTCTGCTGTGGCAGCTGTCAGAGGCATGGAGAGGCTTTCAGGGGACAGCGTGGCAAAGTCTTGTCTCCAGTAGGCTTCGCACAGTGGAAGATCATTGCTGTCACACAGACTGTAGCTTTCCAGAACAAGCAACCCCAGTGAGGAGAGAGCGCAGGTGCAGTAAGAGAGGAGGGGAGGGAGGGAAAGGGTGGGGGGGAGCAAGACAGAAGCAAAGCATTAAGAAAATGGCAAAAAAACCATTCATGGATGCAAGGTCTGTGTTCGCGATTTCATCACAAGTCTTGTGACACCGGCCTTCCCTAGGACACCCCTTAAGGGCTGGTCTTGAACCTCATGGGCCTGCTAAGAATCAGGGGAATTTCAGAGACAAAACTGTTGCTACAAACTGAAACAGAGGCCCAATTCTAATCCAGACACTCTTAAGTCTCTGGAAAGATCCGGGTTGAAGTCCTGGCACCCCAAACGTGGGAGTTCTGCTGCTGATTTGAGTGAGACAAGGACCTCATCCATAATTATTTTACTTGGAGTTAGATCACAACCTATGTGAGGAAAAAAATATAAATCCTGCTCTAAATTTAAGTTCAGCAAAAAAGCTAGCACAATTGTTTTAGGGCCTGTCCCTGTCATGATAAAGAAGAAACCTATTTGCACCCTTGCCCTTTCATTATTTCAATAAAGCACACCACAGAAGGTCTGGGTCTTCTATTGAAGCTCCCCAGCCTGATGATAAAGTACTGTCAGCTCCTACTAGTTTCAGCAGAAGCTGAGTCAACGGTTCTTCTAAAAGCAGCTTGCTGGATTTGACCGCTGTAGACTATGGAGCTGGATGAACCAGCAGTGTGGGAAAAAGTACAACTGGCTAATTCTTGCCTGTGCTCTGAGGAAAACACAACGTGGAAGGGCCACAACTAAAAAGAGCAATGATGGAAGAAACTGGAACAAAACCAAAACAAATTCCACAGAGAGGAAGGAGCTGCACACACACGAGACACCCAAGACAAAGTGAGTGCTGGAGCGGAAAGCAGCTTGCGTTCACAGTAAAACAAACCCAACGGGTCAAGTGATTTTGTTGTTGGAGCTTTATTTACAGTTTTAATGTATGGACTTGAATAGATGCTTTGGGAAATATTTAGTGTAGAAATATGAGACACTTGAAATTGCACAGACATGAAACATGTTGAGATCTAACCCCACACTCAAGACAGGTCCTATGATCTCAGAGGAGGGAGCAATGGAACATAAATGCAAGTTTGGCATTTAGGATGAGAGAAGACAAGCTGGACTTGGAGTTACCACTTTGAGGAATAAGCACACAAAGCACTAGTTGCAAGCATCTACTTCTGAGCTCTTTTCTGGCAGCATCACCCAGCCGGTTTTGCAGTAGAAGTGAGAAGGCAGCAGATAGGGGTTTTATATCTGGGGCCTTTGTAAAATCCCTTGGAAGATCACCCTTCCCTACAGTCCCCACCACACAGTGAAGCTGGGTTCAATTAGCCTTCAGGACTGAACCAGAACTATGACTCCTTTTCTGTCAGTCTTAGACCATGTCAGTCAGGCCACGGTATTTCAAAGAGAACCAGGCCACAGCATCCACCACATCTTGGCAGGTGAGTTACTAAGAAAATTTTAGCTGCGTCACAAGCATAACGGTTTCTCCTGCTGCCCCAGTTAGTCCCAAGTCTAAGCTTCGCCTCTCACATAACACTCCTCAAAAGAGTGAATGAGCAGCTACTACTATGTAGCTACTACGTAGCTGCTACGTAGCCTACAACAGTACTGCCCAACCTGCTGCTCTGTCCTTTGGCTGAGGATTTCTCAGTGTGTGGAAGGGACTTCACTGCTTCCCTCAGGGCAGGCAGTCAGGTCTGTGCACAGAGGAACAGCTCTACTTAACACAGAGATGGAAAGTAAAGATTCCTTCAGAACAATCTACTCGGCTTTAGTTTCAAGGACCTGCTTTCAGGTCTCCTCATCAAAACTCCCATGTACACATAAAAAGCCTGGCAACTGTGGGCAAGGGGCTGCCACCTAAGCCCTGTTAGCACGATGGCAGCGATAGCTGCTGGGCACGAGATGCTCCCTTCCGCTGGCTTTTCACAGCTGTCGGGAGCAGCACGCAGGGACCAAACAAGCTGCACAGCACGGGGCAGCTCTCGCCTTTGCAGCATCTGGAAACGTGCTGCTGAGAGAGCTCACTTTTCTACAGCCTTCCCTGGAGGGACGACCTAAAATAAACTAACCAGTGACCTTCAGGGAAACTGGAGCATGGGAGAGAAGTTTGGTGGGATGGCTGTATGGAACCCATGTCTTGGGCTCGTGGGACTGCACACCTCTTTATAAATCCTGAGGGATCAAGCCCCACAGGGAAGTAAGTGATGGTGCAGAGAGGCAACTCCCCAGCTGGGCTCCCAGGACAGCACAGAATGCCCGTTTGTGGGCAAACCAGCTATTGCATTTACAGCCATTTAAACATGATTATCACTCAAGACTATGTGACATAACAGAAATCCTTTTTCCCACATTAGATAATAAGGTTTCATTAAAAACATCTTAGTATTCTAATTATAAAAGGACTTTGAATAAATCACTGTTTCTGTATTTACACAAACACACAATTTCTTTGGTGCAGAAACAGACAGGAAAGAGCACAGGAAGGGAGTAAGTGCTAAAAACAAACAACTAAGTGCTACGTGATAACAGGTTTCAGTGGAGGGATCATAGCTCTGTAGAGTTGCCAAGTTTCTGCACCTTGCAACCACTCCTATAAGAAAAAGCACGAAGGCAAATCCGTTTGGTATATGCCAACGTTTGTGCTTAGATGTTCGTTCCGTTACAGAGGGCTGCTTTACACGGCATCTGGTGCCAGGCAGGTGAACAGACCATGCCAGCATGGTCAGAACCCCTTAGTCCAAAAGTTAAAGCTACTGACACACAGTGGTTGCAGCCTGGTGACAGTGTAAGGGAAGCACGCCTGGCACATGTGAGGCACTCTCATCCCACACCACATCACTTTGGATACAGCTCACTGCGATGCTGTATGCAGCCTGTGTACTGGATGCACCCCGACCTATCAGGGCCTGCAGTGGTGCTTGGGTTTGCGACCATCCCTCTTCATTTCTGAGATATTTCCAGCATCCCTTGCCACCCCCCAAAAAAATGAGTAAACTTTGAAAAACAACTCTAAACTTTTACCTCTAGCTTTCTTGCAATGTCATAGCAGTTTCTAAGCTATGTCATATCAATATCTTTTTTACCTTTAAAATACATATATTACTCAAACAATGGCCTAACTTCCAAAGATATTGAGCTATTAGGGTTTTAGTTGACTTAGCTGGGGCTATAGGCATTCAGCATTTTTAGAAAGAAGGGAAAGGCAAAAATAGAAAACCTAGTCATTAAAATTTTAAATAAGATTTTGAAAAGTTAAGTTTTTCTCTAGAAGTCATATTGCACTGACTTCACTTAGCTTGGACAGTGCAGCCAAAACAATCAGGTTCTCGTTTGCTTTCTCCTGCTTTCATTTACTGCATCATCAACTAGAAGTGCTGGAGTGCATCAAAGAAAATAAAATGAAAAAATAAAGTGTCTGAGTTCTCTAAAACCTGTTTTCAAAGAGTCTTTTAAAAATATTAAAAATCCCACAAACAAATCAGTAATAAGTCATTATCCCATAGAAAATCCTATCACAATACTTCATAATTCAATGAAACTGAGCAAGTCTTTTTTGCTCATTTCAGATGTTCACCCCAAGAGGGCTCCAGGCGGGCGGGGGCAGTGGACTATCAGGGAAAAGGCACACTGTGTAACCAGGTCACTTGTGAAAGGACTGACCACAAAGATGTGGTGATCTAACATGAGGACCCACCTCAGCAAGCTAGCCACTCTAGGGAGAGAGACAGAGGCTCCTCCACAGGGATACTCAGACAGAAGCCTATACCCCCAAGGAAATTAATCTCCTTTTACAATGATTACAAAGGAAGCTTAAGCAATTATCTGTCAAATCTACCCAACTAAAGCAGGTACCCAGAGTTGGATGCTACAAATACCTCCTTCACCATGGCATTTATACCCTGTAGGACATCTACAAGGAAAAGGCAGTTGCTTTAGCTGCAGAAAAAGAGTTTGACCTAATTAAAAACAGGAGTAAAATTTTGTTGGGAACATTCTCAAGACCTATACTCTAAGGACTACTTTGTCTGGACTAACTACCCCAAAAGGGTTGGAGTCATAAGGCAGAAGTCCACTGCCCTATTTGTACCTGGAAGAGTAATATTCTTCTTCTAGCTCGTACAGGTCAATGGAGATCTCATCCCGTAGTGCAATCAACTTCTTGTCACATTCCTCCTGCAAGCTTCTCAGCTGCTGGTTGCGCTGGTTGATGGCTTCATTTACAGAGGGGAAGTCATTGAGGATCAAGAACTGCTTCAGGTCAGACACAAGTTTCATCAGGGACTCACCAGCTCGGACCTTGTAGCAGGGGAAAAAAAAAATGACATAGCACATAGTACATCAAAACAGTGCTTTGCTCCAGTTCTAAAACAAGATCTCCCAAGCTGCTTCTTCAGCCCAAGCCTTAAATAAAGTAGGAACATCCATGATATGTGAGGATTCTGACAGAAGCCTGTAGCTGACAAGCCAGCTTTCCCCCTAGAGAAGGAATTCACCCAACAGCCACCCCAAATATCAGGTCACTTTTCTAGCAGCAGTCCTCATGAGTGTTACAAAGGCCGCGCTAGATGCAATAACGAACCAAACAGTACCTGAAAGGTGTGCCCACTGATTTGAACAGCAGATGCTACTCACAATGTTTGCAGCTCTGACATGCATCTCATAGTTATCTTGTTCACCCTGGGTTGCTCGAGAGACTTGAGTTTCATCCTCAATCTAAAGAAACAAGTGTACATATGCACCTTTACATACTGAAATCCTGATACATGATTACCACATGATAAGGCATCTTATTTCAGTTCAGTTCACACCTGGAATCTCTGGGGCAACCGCTGGACTCTATGGCGCCCACGGATCACCTTTGCTACCCTGCGCTTCTCCCCCGTTCAGCAACACGGCTTGGCTGCCCGCAGGGCGGAGGC